AGACCGACGACACATGTCAAAATTCCCAACTTGGCCATGTGTATGATACAGCAGAATATATACTGACAACCAAACAGCCATCGCAGACCCGAAAGACCCCAACGCCGACCTCAACACACTCCTCGGCATAACCGACAAATAAGCGCACACCCAGAGTGATTCCGTTTCCTACGTTAGCATGGGCATAATGCGGCCGGGTCCCATCGAGCCGAGAAGCGGCTGGGTGGGGAGAGCAGTCAATAGTGGTACGACATCTACGAGATACCAATCTCTTGTACTATGTACCTTTTGTACAACATAGACGTCGAGTTGGTCACGTTTTCAATATACATGCTTCAGTTCGATCCTTCAAGCCTCGTCCGTATCTATATGCCATGTAGTCCCCTAGAAACTAGGCCAAGAATGGAGCAGGTTCGACTCATCGTGCGAGGACTGGGACTAATTCAGGAAACATGCCACCAGCGGGGTCATTACAGTCCGCGTGTAGACGCAGGACAGGCACCGAATATATGGAGAACCAGTTTATACCAATGTCGGATACGTCTTGAGCTACAGAAGTCATGGTTATCACTGATCCCCACATTCCAGACATTGCCTGCATCTCAAAAACCATAATTGTTGCCAATGATATATTCTATACATGTATCATCTCCGCCCCCGACCGGCCATGGGCAGGTTCTATGCTACACAGGACATCAAAACGCGCAGAAAAGATGAAAAGCGGAGCCGTGGAAAACGCCCTGCAACCCTTGGAAAACAGCAGGGCAACAGAAGAGTAGAAATGAAAAGCGCAGAGGAGCGGCCAAGGACAATATTAACAGACGGCGGCCAGCCTCCATAACGCTTTGTCAACCTTGGCCCCAGCCCGACCGTTTGCCACGACCATCCTACGACGCCAGTCGGAAGAAGGGCCAAGGTCGTATAATCGCACATTTTCAAAACCTACAAGGAACCCGTGACGATTCGTTTCATTATCCAAACACCTATCTCTTACAATACCTCGCCCACAATCTTGGCTGCCTCCTTGTATGTCTTGAGCAGCTTCTCGCACTTCTCGCGCTCGGCCTTGATTGTGTCGTCCTCGTACAGGAGCTCCTGGAAGAGATCCTCCTTGTACAGCGTTGACACGAGCCTATTTTGTACCACGTCCTTGGAGTGGTTGACGAGAAGATGCATAATCGCCTTGGGGACCTGGTCGGCGACGGTTTCCCGGACGATATTGAAGTACGATGAGATGAGGCGGCGGATGAGCTCGGTCTCAAGGGCCTCGCGTTCCGTAAGCGCAGGTGCTTGCTCGGGGTTTGATGGCTGTTGGACATTAGCATACAGTCAGGGCTACATGTATTGGAGAAACTTACGAAGCCGCCTTCGAAGTTGTCTCCTCCCATACTTGGACTTCGGGGAGGGGCACTCATGGCAGCGCTCAATGGCGCGTCGTAGTCATCGGTGTCTGGTGGCATCATGGCCAATACATGAGCAGGCTGCTTGTTGTCGCCTCTCCGGATGCTCTGCGCAAAGCTGGGCTCGCTGTTTTGGCTGACGTGGCGGCTGCCAGGCCTGTTGTCAAGCGCTGCTTGTGCTGCTTGTTGTGGGTTGGCGTATGCGTTGTTGCTATCTTTGCTGAAGAAGTAGTTCAGGAAGCTGTCGCGTGCAGTACCAGGAGGTGACCGGTTGCGATTGTTGAGCGCGGCCGTGGTGCTCTGCGAGCCGTTCATCATCCGCCCGACGGCAGGCGACATGCTGCGGCTGGTTTGTGACTGGTGTTTCCGAAGAGGGAGAGCTTTGAGAGTTCCACCCTCGCCGCCTTCGCCCTCTTCGGCTTCTTCGCCATTAGCACCGTTCTGGAGTTCCTTCATCCTCCTCTGTTCCCGCCTCTTCTTCTCGGCCTCCATGGCAATCTTCTTTTCTCGCTGCTCCTTGTCGTTGATAACAGATGACATGGCGGCAGCAGCTCCAAGGAAGTTGGGGTGGTTTGTGTTGATGTATGCCCTTTGGATATCGATGAGAGAAGCGACGTAACCTGAGCAAGGGCCAAGTTGCTCTCGCAGAAGGTCAGAGACGACCTCAATGAGCTTTCCTTGTAGCCTGGGGTACCTCGTCAATTCGGTAGAGCCGCAAGTGTGGCAGATCTTGATGAGTTCCTCGTATACAAGCTCCACGCAACGCTGACTGGGTATTTCCAAAAGCTTGATCTGAGGCTTTACGAGAAGGTCAAAAGCCAGCTCGGGTACGAACAGACTAGGCCTTGGACCAGTCGAGTTACGGATAGCCGTCCGGATGTCCAACACAGAGAGGTTCTGGGTTGGGTCCACCTGCTCGAGCGAGTTACCGAAGACGGAGTTGAAGATGTAGTAGATGCGGGCACCACCACACAACTCCTTGGTAGAGATCTCGGTGGAAGTACCGTCGATGGATGAGATGAAGGATGAGGCAAAGCGGGTCATGAGCTGCAAGATGAGCGAGCCGCGGTGCTCCTTTCCAGTGAAAGCCACGTCGCCGTAGCTTGCGAGCTCTTGTTGTGTCTGGCCCATGAGCGTGTTGAGGCGTGCCTTGATGTCTGGTAACCGGTCGCGAATGTGGGCCATGAGGGTCTGGTTGAGGCTCTTTGCGAGCAGCTGGGTACCGCAACGGTTGGCCATATTCCGGTACGCAGGGTGGTGTCGGAAGAAGTCCCGCTCGGCTTGCAGGGCATCAGAGAGCGACTTGTTGCCCTGGATGTCTTGTTGTGACCGGTTGACAATACCAATGAAGCCGAGCTTGAGAGGGTAGACGCGACCAGAGAGAATATCCATGGCGTTTGTACCGTGATCCATAAGATCCAGCTTTGTGAGGACACCGATGGTCCTCTTGCCCATGGGGTCGACATGGCGGGCTAGCTTCAAAGCTTCCGAGTTGACGAGATCGACGTTGGCGGGGGAGACGGCGAGGATGACACTGTTGGGCTTCGCAATGTACTCGGTGATGAGGTTTCGCGTCTGCTTCTCGATATCGGAGGGCTGATCGCCAATGGGCACCTGAGGGAGTTAGCTCCGGGTCCTGGCAGAAAAAAGTTGCCTGACTAACCTTTGTCAGACCGGGCAAGTCGACGAGCGTCAAGCTGAGGACGTGCGGGGAGTAGATCTTCAGGTTGATGGGCTGCCTGTTGATGCCCTTGTTGTTTCCTGCTATCCTCGACGTCTCGTTCTCGATCTCGCGTTTGACATCGGCAAAGTCGTAGAAGCGCTGGCCCGGGATGTGGAGAAACTCTCCCCATTCTTGCTGCCCGGCTACGCTTGCGGGGGTGTGTGGTACGTGGACCTCGTCATCGTCGTCTTCGTCGCGTTCGCTCGGGAGGTTGATGAGCTGGAGGATGAGCGGCCGGCGTGTGACGATACCGCTGCCACGGGGAAGGAAGTCCTTGCCGACGATGTTCTCGAGTACCGACGACTTTCCGGATGATTGTGATCCCACGACGACCTGAGGCAGTTAGTAGGATTCCTGATAGACTGTGCAGAGCTGCGTAGAATCTGCTCTGCGCTCACCGCATTCTCTTCTCGGACTGGGGCGCACATACAATCTGGGGTAAATCTAGGGAATCATTTCCAATTGTGTTGAAGACCAGATCCTGCAGCCTGTTGACAATGTTGAGGAGCTCCTCGCCCAGCGACGCCATTGCGCTGGTGGTTATGTGTGGTTTCTCTGCTCCTTAAGGGTCCGGTTGTTGGTAGAACAGCCAAACAACACGGCGGAATCGTGTGTGAGCCCGATGTCGTCCTGCGGCGTGGAGATAGTGTTGCACGGTGCAGATGCGGGATCGGCGAAGTGATCGTGGCTGATGGCGGCTTCGTCGGGTCAGAGGCTCGTGATGGAGTGCCTTTGCTGCAGCTCCGTCGTCACTTCGCTTGAAAGTTCCAAGGTTTGATGATGGTGCACGTGACGGCCAGCATGGCAATCCACCTGGCAGCCACCCCACATTCAACATTCACATGTCTCCTTAATCTTAGGTCATATTGTTCATTCCTTTCGCATAAAGGAGGCAACACCCTCAGCCATGTGGCCACGCGCACCCGTGTTGTTAAAGCAAGCACACGGCTGCTGAAACCTCCTCTTCTGCTGGTCGCGAGCCCTGCGAACGCCACCACACGCGAGGCAGCATGCGGCTCGGCTCCAAGGCCGGACATGGTGTACAGGCTGCAGCAAACCGTATGTAGAGTGTGCACACGAGCAAATGGGTAACAGGACAAGACTTTTCCACCACATGAGCAGCATCAGCAGTGCCTGTGATGCACGACCCGTGGTCAGCATTGGATATGGACAACATAAGACTGGCTGGCTTCGCAACACAGCTGGCGCACGAGTCGCCTAGGATTTCTCGAGGATATGTGGATTACACTCCCCTAGTCCGGCCACGTAGTATCGCATTACCTCTCTGGTCACTGAGAAAGTACCATGGACACGCTGGCGTACGCTGGCTCGCGCTCGGGTATTGTCGGACCCCGGGATTTCCCTTGTACTAGGCGACGGCTATCTATCAAGCCCTCCAGCCTTATCTCGCTGCGAGACGCGGCCAGACGCGACAACACCAAATTATCAAAGAAGATCTCCAGCTCCTATCTCCGCATCTTGGGGAATGCATTGTGATCGTCAGGTCGCTTCGACGTCTTCTACCGCTAATTGGGAAAGGCTCATGTAGCCTCTAAGTCCCTGCGGAAGTCCGTCTCCGCATAAGCTGATAGGGTCTACACTGCTATGACTGATTCATTGTCTTACGACCAAGCTTCCTCCCGAGGGAAGCCTATCATTGTGATAAGCACTGTTATCATATTCACCGCAAACAAACCTTGGAACGCAGCAGGAGCGTTCGCACACCGACTACAAAGGTAGCGTGCCTTCTTCTCGTTTGTTCTCCCCCTTCCTGATCATCCTCACACCTCCACACCAACTTTCAGCCCTAAATCTATCCTGGGTTTCTGCCGCTTTCAGCTTTCGTCCACCTCGCTCGCATCATCTCCGACGCCTCCATGGCCCCGGAGTCTCTCACTCTTACTACCACCGAAGAACAGCAGAACGACGTTACAGTGGGGACTATCACTTGCACTGCACCTATCCCGTTTGGAGGGGATGAACAATGGCTTTACCTACCCGCAACCAAGAAGTTCGATCTGTCTCGGGGCTCCCAGCAGAAGATGGTCTTCGAGTGCGATGAGGAAGATCGCAACCACACCGGCTTCATGATCGACCCTGGCAACTCGGTTTTGATTGTTGTCGATATGCAAAACTACTTTGTTCACCCACTCTATCGGGATCACGCCGCAGGCATCGCCGCTATCGAGCCGACTCTGAAAGTCATCGAGAGATGCCGTAAAGAGGGAATCCAAATTGCCTGGCTGAACTGGGGAATCAGCGACCATGACTTGAAAAAGATGGCACCTGCTATCCAGCGAGGCTTCAGCAAGACTCTGGGGTGGCACGTCGGACTTGGCGCACAGCTGCCCGATGGTCAGGGAAGGTGCCTGTTCAAGCGGACCTGGAACGCCGAACTTTACGACCCGTTCAAGGCAGTCGCTCAGCCTGGCGATTTATTCTTCGACAAGACGCGCATGTCCGGACTTTGGTCTGAGAAAGAGCCTCTTCACGAGTATCTCCGCACATCTGGCAAGCAAACACTACTTTTCGCCGGTGTCAATACGGACCAATGTGTTTTTGGCACCGTGTCAGATGCCTACTCTTACGGATGGGACTGTATTCTGCTTCGCGACTGCACAGGCACCATGACAGGCCGAGGAGCTCAGGAGCTTGCCGAATATCAAGTCTCGCAGAACATGGGTTTTGTGATAGACAGCAGTGCCTTCTGCGAGGCACAGATTTGTGAACATTTTGAGGGTTGCTGATTCAGCGACACATGTCTTCTACGTTGGCGGTTTCCTGGCTTTTTTTTTTGTTCTTGAGCGTGCTATCCGAATACCCGTAGAGCTACACCAGCCTAGCAGAAATACAATCAATATATGACATCTGTATGACTCGCGCTATCCGAGGGTTGCAAGATCGACGTTGCCCAATCATGTTGTAGCTTCCCCGAACGTTTGTGGATCTGCATAAGTTGAGGTACGAATGACGCACGACGAGGTTGGGTGGAGACTCCTCCCCATAAGGGCCTACCTCACGCGATAACGTTCCTGAGGTCATCTCAACGCTCTGCTGCACAAATCCGGGACAACGACGAGGCTTGAAGCTATTTTGACACTGAAAGATTATCCCCAAATCGACAAGCCGCTATTTCGCCAGCACGATGTTTTCCCAAGTCTCGATTGGGCTGACGTCCCTGCTGCCGCTCTGCGCCGTTGCGCTACCAACTGAGCAAAGGCCATTGATACTCAACGGCCCTAAGAACGTCCAGGCTGTTCGGGCAAAGTAAGGAATTTCATCAAAACTACAAGCATCGTACTAATATTTCACAGACTTCAACACGCTGAGATCATTCCCTCCGTCATTGATGACTTCCTGCCTAGTCTCACAGTGTCCGTTCTCTGGTCAGATTCCAAGGCCAAACTCGGCAACACCATCGAGCCAGACTATCTTGGAGAACAACCCACCATAGTTCTGCACGATGACACAAGCCCGGACGGAATGCACAGTACCTCCGACATGAGCTACGTCGTCACACTGACCGACCCTGACGCGCCATCACGCGACAACCCAGAATGGGCAGAGATGTGCCATTGGATAGCATCAAACGTCACCACCGCGCCGAACACCTTCTCGATCCTACCACTACCAGAGTTTGGTCTTACAGAAGAGACCGAGTCGACAGACGGCGGTCCGGAAGACGTGATGGAATACAAGCCTCCTGGCCCGCCACCAAAGACAGGCAAGCATCGCTACGTGTTCCTCGTCTTTGCGCCAAAGAACGGAACGACTGAGCCGCTCCATGTGAGTAAGCCAGAGGATCGCCAGCATTGGGGTACTGGAAAGGAGGGTGGTGGTGTGCGAGAGTGGGCTGAGCACAATGGCCTCGTGCCTGTTGCTGCCAACTTCATCTACTCGCAGAACGATAAGCAGTAGGCACGCATCGATGCGCTTATTGCATGCATGGAATGCCGAGGGCACATGCATATTCGATGGCTGTTTTCTTTTCGAAATCTCTCTGCAAACGGCGGAGGCGTACTGTCAGTAGCGTACACATAGCATTGATACCAACAATCTCGTAACGAATGCACGTAATCTGATTTCTTCAGAGCGAGCGCTCTCATCGTATCATCCCATCGTTCCTCGTGCCGTGCGGCGAACAAGTAGCCCTACGGCGCCCCGATCGCGAAATATGTGGGGCGACAGCACCCGGGCCGAGCTGGTTGCGCGCACCCCGCGCGCGTCTTCAGCTACCACCAACAACCCGCAACCACAGCTTCCGGCAACTCGTCTCTGTGCCGTCCATGCATTGCAGTATCGCGCCACTTAGGTTTCCGGTCAAGACTCAGCAGCCGTCGACTGCATCTCTGATTATCCGGACGAGGGTGTGATAACTGAAACCGCCTGTATCAACCGGCTGCGCAACCAATACCAGCACTGCGAATAGAGGCCTGCGCGTCCGAGACGAATCGATACGAAGATAACCTGAGCCTCACAATCTCTCCACACTCCTCGTTCAAATCTGCGTATCGACGCGCCTGGCCGGTCGACCACAATGAAGTCTATACCACGGGGAAAAAACATGCGATGCGACGTCGTCTTCGCACGTTCACTTCGATGATTACACCTTCGCCGAGTCCTTCTTGTGGTAGATGTCAACAAGATACCGAGCCTCACTTCCTGATGAGCGGCATCCCATAAGCGGTCGAGATTGCGGCGATGACGGTTGGGCTCTGACCGAGCTGAATTGAGGCTCAACACCGACAAATCACGACGAGATTACTGAGGTGGTCCTCGTTCGCACCGTGACGGAAAACATGCATTGCATTGTCCCATGATGCGTTCCTATCGTGCGAACACTATGCACGTTCCACTGGACGGGGGCGTTGACGATCGTTGGCCGGCTGCATACGGCAATTACGAGCGTCAGACTAAATGTCGTCCGGCGCCTATCAGCGATACACAGCCCTCTCTACTGCTCGGTAACCAGTGGTAATCAAAGAGACAGGATGCTGCAAGATGTATGCCACCCTTGTACCGGTCAGACTTTGAAACTCCGAGACGGCTTTGTGTACGCGCTCGTCAAATCATCTAGGCGCATAGGCTTAAGGTTTCAAGTCGATCGTAACACAAGTCAGGATATGGATGTGCTGTCGTGGTGGTACAATCTTACATACATACAGGGCTGAGCGTCCCGAACGACTGAAGCCAGTCAGGATGCTTTCTTACCGGTGAATGTCATTCCAAAGCCGCCATAGCTATGCTCTGCATTTCACCAGTAGGTGGTTTCGGAGTCAACATACATTGTGGACGCTGCCATCACTCGCATCGCGATTGGACTTGTTCCCCGCTAACGTCCAGTTCAACCTTCTGCTGTCCGACTTTGAGGCTGCATAGTGCTACCTACTTAAATCGCATTGATGGCCCTGTGTTAGGAGAATAAGCCAGTTACCGACTACGATAACTGACCGGTACCACAAGTCTCCACGCTTTGTGCGCTGTTTCGTTGCAAATCTCTGCTACGCCTTCCGCACTGCCTCAAGGCTGTGTCGCACCACGTCTGATGATGTCATTGGAACATCCCACCAGCAGCATGTCGGTAAGTTCCAGCATGTACGAACGAACTTATTCCACTTCGTTGGTTTTCCTGTCTCAGGTGAGAACCTACGGTTACAAGACGAAGCCTACTGATACCGTATTGTAACAGCTTTCCGATGACGACATGGGCCGAAACCAGGAACGTGGGCTGTATGATGCAATTGTCGACCATTTCACGTACAGCGAGTTCTCCCAGAAGGATTTTCTCCCTCAGGACGACTTCGAATCGCTCATCACCGAACATACTATCAAAGAAGAGCTAGACAGAGCTGCTTTCGGGGAATATGATGCGTCACTTGTCAAGTACATTACGAAGCACGCGCGAAAAACGTTTGCTACGTTAGTCTATGGAGACGCAGTCCGCAGGGCTATCAACCTAGAAAGGTTCGAATTCGGCGACAGATACCTTCCCATCGCTCTTGAAGGGCCACGTCTCATCTCTCTCAACGGCTTTGCGCGAGATTCTTCCGCGTGGAAGTGGTTTAACAAATGGAGGACACAGGAGAAACATTTCTTCTGTAAAGAGCAATGGGTGTTTCTACCCCAAATCTTCAGGAACGATAGCACGATGGAGAACTTACACCGAGACTGCCGATTGCCCTTTATCGCATGCGAATCTCAAGGTGAAGGAGGCAGTTTCAGCTTGTTACACAAGGCTACCATACACCGTGCTCATCAAACAGTCAGTTCGGTCAGTATATTTATCTTAGCATATTAACGATTTGCTGACAGCAATAGGGCAATCTCGTGATTGCCATCAAGGAACTGCGAAACAAGGAAGCCGGTGCCGATCAAAGTGAACTCGATGCGCTAGACCTGGCGAGGCAATTGAAGCATCCACATATCGTGAGATTCGTCGGCGGCTTTAGGCAGAACTTCACGAGCCATTTGTTATTCCAGTGGGCGGACGGAGGCAACTTGCGGTCGTACTGGAACAACGAGGAGAATTGGTCTCGAGATGCAGACCTCATAAGCTGGACTATTGAACAGATACAAGGACTTGTTGCAGCACTCGATCAGTGGCACAACAATCCGTCTAGGCTTGCATTAAACGGTCGACATGGAGATCTCAAACCAGAGAATATTCTTCGATCTTCTGGTTCGCACCGTGGAATATTTCAAATCGCAGATCTGGGTCTGGCCAAGATACACTCGTTGCCAACGCATGCAAGAAATAAGCCTTCAGCATCGCCAGGTGGAACACTCCGCTATAGGCCTCCGGAAGTGGGCCGAAAGATCTCCAGGTCCTACGACATGTGGGGCATGGGCTGTATCATCCTGGAGTGGATAATCTGGTTAGTCTACGGCATTCACGAGCTTGACGAATTCTGCCAGCAAGCATTTCCCGAGGAATTCGACGCTTTCTGGTTGCGCGACAGCGAAAGTCGCACCACTAATCCAGTAGTGGCATCGTGGATGAAACACATGACCGACACATGTCTAGCAGACGGTGACCAATGCTACAGTGCTGCCCTACGAAAGCTTTTGATCTTCGTTAGAGACAGGCTACTGGTGCCAGATTCGACAGAGCAAGATACAAGCGACATCTACCACCCATCCGCTGACAACGAGGAAGTACCTATTTACATTACGCCTGCATCAGATGTCAGACACACGTCTCCTATATCAGGGAGAGCAAAGGGCAAAGATGCATGCAGGGAACTTGAAAGGATCAGCTCGACAACTCACGGCATTCCCTACTACATGTACAATCCGATGGTTAACATGAGCGGACCTAATGGGCGAGGACCAGCGACACCGAGCGGGTTATTGAAGCCTTTCTCGACACCCAACTTTCGCCTAGAGGTGAATGGTCCCCCCGGCAATCGATGAGCAACTTTCTGATGTCAAGTCATCAGCAGAAATCGCGCGATCTGGTACGTCTGTACTACCAGCGACGACAAAACGGCGGAATAGCCAACACGAAAAATCCCTACGCAATACCTGGTGCATTGGATATGTGGATAAAACAATTCGATAATCTTTTCGCAAAGACCTTCTTCGGCACCTTAGACAGCTACGAATTCGAAAGGCTCGCACCCATGTACCCGATTTTGACTCCTTTATGTCAGAATTGTTCGCACACTGAAACGGGCATCTTCTCAAGAGGATCGTTCGTAGTATCACACGAAAGAGCACAATCATCTCGTGCAATATGTTCACTGTGCGCCGTCATCTACATGGCGATGAACCACACGACTGGAGAGAGCAGGCACAAAATGGTGCTAAGGGAGGGGTCTTCGTTAACCTTGGGAAGGGGAGAACCTCCATTACTCTCGTTAGTAATAGGCCCAAGTCCCGGTAAGTTGTGGGTCTTATTGCTGCGAATCACTACTGATACCGAACACAGGCCTCAATCGGTTTCCGGATACTTACCAGAGAGGCTTGCCAGTTCTACCGGGGCCTGGAAGTTCTACCCAGGTCAAATTGCTGAAGAGGTGGATCAAATGGTGTGATCTCTTTCACGAATGCAAACCGACAAGAGTAACTATGCCTCACAGACTGGTCGAGTTGTATCCAAGAGGAAATCACCAGGATCGCGGTCGCTGGGATTCAGATACATTGCGTCTAGATTGCGACAATATGAGGAAAGACAACAAATACGTGGCTTTAACACACCGGTGGGGTGCCCCGTCATTGCATGGAAGTTTCCAATTCCTAAGTCGTAGCAAGCTCAAAGGTTGGCAAAGTCATCTTGATCTCAAGATGCTACCGCGGACCTTTCAAGACGCCGTAAAGATTACAAGAAGTCTCGGAATTCGATATTTATGGGTAGACGCGCTTTGTATCATTCAAGACGATGCGGAGGATCTGCGGGCGGAGATTAGGAAGATGGACGATGTCTTCAGATGTGCCTACGTTACACTTTCGGCGACTTGTGCAAACGGAAGCGATGATGGATTTTTGAAGACGGATCGCAAAGCAAGACTTCACTATCCCCTCTCCTATCCCAACCATCCGGGTAGCTTAGACACGATCTATCTCTGCGAACCGATCGATGATTTCGAACGCGATGTAGAGCAGTCGGCATTGAGTAGAAGAGGATGGGTATTCCAAGAACGCGCGTTATCGCGGCGTATTATTCATTTCACAGAAGTTCAAGTCTATTGGGAGTGTGGAACAGGAATCAGGTGCGAAACGCTGACAACGCTATACAAGTAAGTGAAACCAACACCCTTCTACAATGGGAAAGAAGCTCATCGTTACGCTAGCCACAAGACGTCTTTCCTGTCCGATCCTCAATTCCCCGATGCTATGTTGAAGCGATACAAAGGAATGCGTATCGCTTTCTTCGAAGAGATATACGAGAAATATTCCCGACTTGACTTTACCCATTACACAGATAGGTCGTTAGGTATGGCCGGAATCGAATCGCGATTTGCGAAATTGTTCGGAAAGGCACAGCACGGCATTTTTGATCATCCAAAGGAGCGCAGCTACTTACGCCGCACACTTCTCTGGCGACGTGCGGACCTAAATAGAGACATGATCAAGATCGACTATCCAAAGAATAGGCGGGTGCTCTCATGGTCGTGGATGGCAGTGACGGGAGCTATATGCTTCATGGATATTCCATTCGGCACTGTGGACTGGAAGCCGGACCTCGAATCACCCTTCAACAACTGTGAACACTTCGGTGATACCCCGAGGGCCCTGCGTGGCGACGCCAGAGACTTCTACAAGCAGTACAATGATCGTGTATTCTTCGATCGTGGCCGACTATCTGAATGGATTCCATCCAGTGAACTGAAATGTGTCGTTCTGGGGATGCAGGATATATTAGACGGCCATCTGTTGACTCATTATGGATTACTTGTTACCGCTGCAGAAAAGGGTAGTGACGTCTACGAGCGAGTAGGAGTCGCTGCCTTTGAGCGAGACCGGTCATGGATGGACCAAGAGCATATCCAGCGTATACGTGTTATATGATTCCGCTCTCGCTCAACGCGGTTCTCTTTCGTCGATCTTGGCTATTGAGAAAACCTTGTTCTCTTCCTTTTGCGATGGATTGCGAAGCCTAGAGGACGAAACGATCTGCCTGCGGGTTTGGGATGATGTTGCTCTTAAGTATTGGGTATGATAAAACACTGCCTTGATGCACGCCTGCCTCTTCAACCTGATATCTCGTCAACTTTAATATGCAAACTAACGTAGATAGCAGCGCGTTCGATACGCTTTTTCCTTGCGTGAATAGCACTTACCATCCCACAGCCAGTTTATCTGCATCAAAGACATGTCTCACGTCTACTGCTATCTAAATGAGCCATGCGTTTCAGTATAACCGGCATGTTCTCTGTAAGATGTTTAAGAAGAGAACCGACCGGCACAAATTCGAAATCTCACCCTTTGTTCCTTCTTTGGCTTTCCTTCACATAAGTACGATCTTCCTCGCATTATTGCAGCTTTAGCTGCATATTACAGTTACTCTATAGCTTTAATTTTTAGAAGAAATTGCTTCTTATTAGCCTATTAAGCTTATCTCTTATTAGACAAAACGCTGCTAAGATGTTAGTACGCCTATGTTGGTCTTAGTTTAATCTTAATTAAGTCTAGCAGAAACACGTGACGAGCACCGAAGCACAGCCTCCTTCACAGTCACCTGCATCCACCTCTATTCTCTCGCTATGCTATTTAGTATGCAGCCTACTAACAAATAAGTATTGTAGGAAAAGAACAACTTATGCGCTACAGCTGCACCCCTTTTTAGCTCCGTTTACGGGCTGTACGGACTATTTTACCACTCATTCTCGTTTGCCGTCAAGCAGTAACAGTCAGCCATGCCGCCCCAGCGAATAGCAAAGACAAGCTACGGGCAGCCAGGGCAGTCTACGCGCTCTTCAGCAGCATACGACCCGTCGCAGGAATACATCGATGACGAAGACTCCGAGATAGGCCAGTTGATCAAAGCCGATCCTTATTGGCGCTACGTATTGAGAACTGGGAGGTACGCCGGACGCACTTTACAGCAGCTGGATAGCGATAAAAGCGACGACAATTGCGTCGACTACATAAGATGGATGCTGACCGCCGAGAAAGCGTGCAAGGGCGTGGACGAAAACCACATCGTGCGAAGGGGTTTACTCCAATGGAACGAGCAAGCTGGATATCGCGCCACGATTCCTCCATCCGACAAAGTTCCTCCCTACGCTACGGGAAAGAATGCGCCTTCATTTCTAAAGAAGTTGGTTGTCTCGGTCCCGTCGCCCGAGCGCTTCAAAACTGCTGGAGGAAAAGCTATCTGGATCTGTGGATCCGACATCATCGGTCTCTTCCATATGCAGCGACACCAATTGAACCGTTTCGGTGTGAAAGACCTTCAAGAATACCGTGGTCTTGATAGACGGTTCGGCATGTTGAAGTACTCGCTCGAACAAGTGTGGGAGGTCGCGAAGCGTACGCCTAAATGCCCGCTCGATCAAACGCCTGATGAGGCTGTCGATCGGTACCTCCTTAAGGTCCAGAAATGCGGCGATGGTGGAATTGGATCTCTTCGTACCATCTGCGCGCACAAAGACTGTGAAGATATGCGAACTGGTGGGCCCAGCGAGGCGGGTCAGAAGTTTTGGGTGGATATGTATAAGGATATGTTTTAGAGCTATGAATTACAACAAGATTATGCTAAAGAAACTGAGAGCCTCCGATAAGGTGTTTCTTTAGGAAGCATGAGCTGCAACACTGTAGATTTAAAATCTAAAGGCATCCTTTAAGTCTCGGCATCTCGTTCATAGCACATATGAAGCCTGACCGAGGCCATTGTTTCTTTCCGTATTGTTTATCTTGTCTTCTTTGACATGATGCATGAACCCTCCCTGGTTGTCGCGTACTAGCCGAGCTGGGACTAAGACAGAAACACCGGAACTTTTCACGTAGCCTGACCAGCCCTTTGTAACCTCCTTTTGCAAATCTTACGCTCTTGATCATCGGAATGCTCGTGATAATCGCAGCCCTTCAAATCCGCATCCCACCCAATCTCGGTTGCTTCCGCGGCCCTTGAAGAATATCGCGCGATCATGCGAATCAGTAGAGTAGGTGGCAGGTCCCTTCCGATCAATTCAGTTATTGCAGCCTCCACATCATCTGCGCCATTTCCTGTCACATCCCAGTGTCGACAGTGGAAATCCAAGAATAGTTTCAGTATGCTATGATCCGATGGTAAGTTCTCGTAAGCGTATTTCGTTGCGGTGAAACAAGTCGGCTCGCGAGGGCCACCGTCTTCGTCATAAAGCAATGTTTCCACTATGCAATTGTGAATAGCTTTGCGAAAGACAGGCACTAGAAATCTGTCACCGAACACTAGTGCCTTCGTATAAGCGGTCATCGGATCGTCGTCATCGTTGGGGTCTGGGGAACTCTCTGACATTTTCAGTGTGGCGTCGTTGTCTGGAATCTGTTGTGTATACAGCCAGTGGACAAATATGTCTACAGCAATAATATAGACATCTTCCAAAGTGACGACTTTGTCCTCGGCCTCCTTCCATGGGCCGTTTAGGGCATTGTTGAAGTATTCCGAATGGTGTGTGAGGAGGGCTTTGTGCAAGTGGTAGCGCTGTTTCTGTGGGCCGATCTCGAGGACGACGAACCCATCCTTCGTAGCCGTACTGCGAGTCGTTAGTGGATCTCTACAGTATGCGTGTGTCAATCATAGGCTTGCCTGATGGGTAGCCGAGTCTTGTATTTTGGAGGTTTCGTCTGCGTGGTGAGGTTCGTGTCGGTGGAAGCCATGTTTGATCTGGTTGGCAAGAGGAATATTGTCGCAGCTATTATGGCGCTGTTGATTCAGTATGTATGTAGAGTGAGTAAGGTTAGAAGCAGGAAGGCGCGGCATTTAGAAGGCCACAATAGGAAAGTACGCTAGCGCGCTCACGGCAAGGTGAAGGCGAGAGGGCTCAAATGAGCAAATATACGCCTGTCAAGTCAAATGTGACAGAGAACGGTTGCAGTTAGTTTTCAATACCCAGCAAACTCAAAGCCCCTTCACTAGCTCGCTACTTGAACTCAGAGCTTACAGATCATATACAGCACCTTCCCCGTCATACCCTTCTGGATGTCGTCTACTACAACGCTTCCGCCCGGAACACTACCGCCCGCCACTTCCCTCGCAAGGGATAATGCAGGATTCTCCAGAAACTTATACGTAGTGCACTGCGACATTCTGAGCCTATCAATATATGTCTTGTCTACTAGGCAAACAAAACTTACATGGTAAAGAGGCATACTGCTGGCCACTGAACAGTCACCTTACGTACGGTTGCACCACTGTATATGTTAGAGGTTTCCCAAAGCCGCTGATAGTTGCTGTCCGCTGGTAGTCGTGACTTACAGAGTTGTGGTGAGTAGCCGACACCCATGGGGAAGCAGTGCAACGTCTTCGCACTTATCGTCCGTTGAGCAGATATGAGCGTGGAGCATTGAAGGCGAAGGGTTTGCTGGGGAGGTGGGGGATGAGGATGGTGTGGGCACAACAGGCACTGCTGAGCTGGAAGGTGCAGCCGGAACAGTATACGTGGTCGCCACTGGGACTCCCGGTGTCGCAATGTTACTTGATGGTGTGAATGTTGAGGCCATCACGAATGATGGAAGAGCGGTGGGCGCAAAGCTTGTTGGCAACGCTGTTGGCGCATGAGGAGGAATGCCATTCCTGTCTGATGGTATACCCGGCGGCTGACCCACTGGTTTCGAAGAAGGAGCAGCTGGCGGTACGACTGGTGTAGTCGCGCTGGGAGGCAGCAATATGGTCATCCATGCAGATTCCGTAGGTAGGCTTCTGGCCGTGATAAAAGGGTGTGCGCTTGTGCTGAGCGCCAGTGATACTGTAAAGAGAGTGTACATGAAGTGCATACTCGCGGATGGCTGTGGTGATATCACGTAGTGGTGGTAGCTAGGTTATATAGACCATGTTTGCACGAGCGCTGGAATGATGGCGACGTGTACACAAGCTGTTTCCACCAAAACAAGATTAGGGACAGACAGTTATATTTGAGAGTAGCGACCGAACAGGGCCGATGCCAGCGTCTAATATGCCAAACCCCATTTCAGCCTCGTTGTGCCTGCGTTGTAGAACCAGCACATTGAAAAAACAGCACCCAAGCCCCGTTTTATCAATACTGAAAGCGGATTCCTAACCGAAGGTTGAGGACACCACATACGGCCTTGCCGTATGAAGAGCTCGGGAACCATCACCACTCACAATCCACCGTACTGGGCTCGCAATCCCATGTGTGTACCATACCCCAATCCTCATCATCTTCATCCAGAGTATCCTTCATATACGAGTTCCATGGAGTGTTGTTCTTGATAGCACTCCCACTCCAGAGTTCATCGTCCGCGTCCCATGAGTCCAGACTCTCATCGTCGCTCTGAGATAGAGTGTCGTCATCCGTGTGCTGTTCTTCCAAGCCCTCTAGGATCTCGAGGATCTCGTTCTCCTCCTGACCGTTGGTCACAGCCCAGTTGTCCACATCCCACTCTTTGAGTCCCTCGGTCTCGAAGTTGGTCATCTCCCACATCTGCTTGTAAGGCATGCCGCTAGGGTCCGTGGGCGCGTGGATGAACCACTCTGGCATTTCTTCCTCGCTATCTTCGTCGAGTTCGTATACCGTGGCGTCGTCATCGCTGTCTCCGTCGTGAGCCCACAGGTGGTATCCTTCTGGTTCGTACTCCTCGTATTCCTCGTACTCCTCCTCTTCATCTGTGATGCTCTCGCTCATTTCACTAGCCACCTCAGTCATCTCGCCCGGGATGAAGTTCCACTCGCGCTCTTCAGCCTCTCGGTCTAAGGCCTCGATCTCCTCCATGTAGTGTGCGACGCGCTCAACCATGATCTCGAGATCTACGGCAAGGCACCCATTCTCCATCCTGCATTCTGCAAGCTGGCCCTCTAATTCGTCGACGCGAGATTGCATGGCGCGAATAGTGCCGGCGTTGTTCTTGGTCCAAGATTCGTTCGCGATGCGTAGCTGCCTGTTCTCTTCTTCGAGAGCTTTCTTCACGCGCCAGGATTCGTCACACCTCGACATCCATCCTAGATGTAAGCTTCGAATTTGGGATTTCAGGGCATTGCAGTCCCTGGTCAGCTTCTCGATCTGTGTAGATACACGTTTGGCGCTTTCTTCGTTTGACATGATCGTCGCGTGTTGTTCGTCAATCTTATCTTGCGCCTCCTGGCTAGACTTGTTTGCACGCTCCCACTCCTTCTTGGTGTTGTGCAGAGAATGTGTCATAGCCTGGAGATGTGTGGTGACACGTTTGGCGCTTTCCTCGTTGAACATGATCGTCGCGTGTTGTTCGTCAATCTTATCTTGCGCCTCCTGGCTAAACTTTTTTGCACGCTCCAACTCCTTCATGGTGTTGTGCAGAGAAAGTGTCATGGACTGGAGCTCTTTGGCTTTGAACTGAATCTGACTCTGTAGTTCGTAGCACTCATCTTCCTTGGAGGCATTCTTGCATTTGGACTCCTCGAGCGCTTGGGTGAGGTACACCATTACGCCTTCTGCGCGGTCGCGTTCGCGGCGCGCTTGGGACAGCTCCCTACCGAGTCCATCGCGGAATTCGAGGTGGGCGACGACTTCCTTTTCGCTCTGTTTGAGCGCAATTTCGGTGTTGGCGAGAATGGATTTGGTATCGACGAGGCAGAGGTCAGTACTAGTAGGCTTGGTTTGGGAGACGTGGAGCTCGTCTTTGACTTCAGACAGCTCGGCTTGAGTGGCCTTGAGTACTTCCTCTTGAATTTTTGCTCGACAGATCGCTTCGTTGAGTTTCTCGTCGTAGTGGACCAGGCCGATAAGAGCAGCGAGGAGAACTATTCCGGCTGCCATGGACCAGGCCAAAGAGACCATTGTGATCGCCAGATGGAAGTGTAAGATACACTCTCTGTTATGCTGTAAGTGGTTGTGGTAATTTGTGTTCGTCGTGAAAATCAGGTATCTTGGAGAGAAAGGTTGTGAAGTAAATCAGCAGTGGTGCAGCGTACTACATAGTTTTATACTTGAGTGGGAATTTCCTTGCCCAGATGCGCGTATTTTGGTATCCATGGTTCAGATGATCATAAGGCTGCTGCGGACATATATCGTGGGTGCGCAGTCACCTCAGTCCGTGGGACGTATGGGCACTCCCATCGTAATCCTGTGACGGTTATAGGCAAACCATGGCATCAATAGTGGAGACCCAAATAGAAAGTGGATTTTAGAAATAGCCAATTTGGTCCACGTGTAGTGAACATCAAAACGGCCGTTGGAACATCGTAGAATAGGATACTCGTAGGCTTAAGCATATGCGTTGACTGGTACCTTGTGCCCGCGCAGGACGACACTGGATGCTGGGTCGCAGAATCAACGAGTGCTCACTCTTGATGATCTCGTTTAGCGTATGACCAATACTGGAGCCATGGTAATCGCTTTTGAAATTTTGATATGTACAAGAAGATGCTGGTTGACCCAGTGAATCTTTATCGGTGTAGGTCCTATCAATGTAAATCGTTTGGAAATGCGACTGGAGTGGTAGGACTGTAGGCCGCAACTTTTGTACCAGGATTTCGTCCTGCGACTACTGAGCCAGTCGGGTGCGTGACAATGCAACAACAAAATCGCCGACGCGAGCTGACTCCAAATCGCTCAGGTTAAATGCATGGCAACAAGCAAGCCTACTCGTTCAACTCAACATAGTTGGCGGGGAAGAGACCCGATTGGCCATTGTAGCTACCGAGCCACCAGTCTTCGTCGGGGAATTGCTGCAAGAGTATTAGCATCGGTTTTAGCAGTGGTGCAGGTAGTCTTACAAGTTCAGTTACTGTGGCTCCTTCGGGGAAGCTCAGTTCGTTGTCCTCAGCTGCTTCGTAATCGTACAGAGCGGTGGCTGTAGGGCCAGCAGACTGTGATGGTGCCGCAGCAGGTTCGGGCTCTTGCGGCGCCGAGGGGTGTGCGGGCAGTGCTGGTGCAGCGGCGGCATCGTCGCCCTCGACCAGCTCAACATAGTTGGCCGGGAAGAGACCACGCTCGCCCTGAGAGTTTGTGCCCATCCACCAGTCGTCGTCTACCATGTCGATGTCTGTGACATACTCGCCTTCACGGAGCTCGACTTCGTTGTCCTCCGCCTTTTCGTAGTCATATTGGATGACTGCGCGCTTGCCGGAGCCACCGGCACCGGCATCGTCATCGTCATGAGAAGCGACCGCTGCGCCGACGGCAGCACCGCCTACTGCGGCAGCACCAAAAGTGGCAGCAGCAACGGCAGCGCCAGCTCCACGAGCAGGGTCCTTGGCCTCGACTTGTGGCTCTGGAGACATGTCACGATTTTGCCTGGCTGCTTGATCAAGTGATCGCGCGGGCATAGGCGGTGCGTGTTCCTCGGCAGGAGACATCTCCTCTGGTTCGCGCCCACGAGCAACGGGCATGGCAATACGAACAGGAGAGCCAGAAGGCTCAGGAGACGGGCTGCGAGGTGGTTGAGGTGGTGGAGATGGCATACGCTGGTGTTGAGTGGCAGGCACATCCTCTTCGTCTGATTCCGGCTCTTTGGGTCGGGTAGGCAGGCCTGGCATCGGAACGCCCCTCGGGCCAGCATTGGGCTTGCTCGAGGTATCGAGAGGCGGTGGGCTGGAAGCTTGCGGCTCTGGTACAGGGCGTGAAGTTGGCGCTCCCATAGGGGCGGCACCTGTGAAGCGGTCCTTGAGCGAGCTTACGCCACCAGCTGCAGGAGAGGCTGGCTCTTCTTGTTGAGGTGCCCCACCCGTGCGTTGTTCGCTGAGGTTGCTAGTCGCAGACTGACCTGTTCGGGTAGTCTGTACTGGAGCCCATGATTTGCCGGAGTAGCCACTTTGCCAGCCACCACCTCCACTCTGTTGGCTTTGGAGGGGAGTTGGGCGGCTTCCAGCATCGGCAGTAGAAGAAGGAACGGCTTCTCCACGGGCCGCCTTCTTCTCCGCCCAGATCTGAGCAGGAGTCTTTCCTCCTTGGTCAGCAAACGTCTTGCTCGCGGCGCCGACGATTGGTGCTGGAGGAGCGGGCTTTGCACCAAAACCTCCTGGAGTAGGAGCTTTGGTGCCGGTGAATGTGCTCGCACCAGCAAACTTGTTGGCAACCTTGGGCTTCGGCAAGCTGGTAAGGCGCTCGGGCTGCGCGCTGAAAGCTGCTGATCTCTCTGCGAGAGACTTGGGCTTCTCTTCCTCTTCTTCGTTGTTCGACGCTCCCGTTGGGGCTGGGGACATGCCAGAGGATGGAGGACCGGCTTGGGCTTTTGCGCGGATAGCCGCGATATCGACCTTTCCGACGGGCTCGTACGCGCCTTTGACAACAGTGGGCCGGTCGTCTTTGGCATCGCGCGCTTGGGCTCGGATGGCTGCAATGTCGACTTTGCCAACTGGCTGGTATGCGCCCCTGACGACTTCAGGGCGGTCGTTCTGCGAGCCCGAGGGCTGGGAACCGGTGGATTCATCTTTTCTCGCGGTGAGCTCGGCCATGTTGACCTTCGTGGGAGTGTAAGCAGTTCCGACCTTCTCCAGCTGGGATCTGGAGACCTGCGGGGCGTCAGCACCCCAGCCATCCGCATCTTCATCGCCCTTTGGCGCAGGTGCACGCGAGCGGCCGAGAGGGTTGAAGCCAGCGCCTCCGCCGCCTATCGAGGTAGGTGTGAAGACGGGCTTCTTCGCGGCAACTGGAGGAGGGCCGCGCGGGGCAGAGACATCGGCACCGCCGCCGTACTTGGCGCCTGATGCGTCTGCAACTTTCTGGACAATCTTCTCTGGGCTGAGGTCGTCCTCGGAACGGGCGGTAACTTGGACATGGTATCCCTATGGAAATTAGCTTGTGCGTAGAGGGGCTGTGGGAGTACGCACATGTAGCAGCTTAGAGACAACCGTGAGATGGCTGCCAAAGTAGCCCTTGGTCCGCTCTGGAACACCGGCGCCGCACTGCGTGTGAATTAGCATTGTATCCCTGGCAGCTGCGGCGGAGAGCTTACCCATGCTATCAGGACGTTCTTGGGCAGCGATGTGTTGGGGTCCTTGACTTTGACGAATGCAAACTGGATGCGGCCGTCTGAGAACTCGTCTATCAGGTCGAGCAGCTCGCCCTCTGCAGGATGTTAGCACATATTCTCGGTGGTGTCACTCTTGCCTGCTGTGCTGCGCTTCGTGATGTGCCGACACCCGAGCTTGGGCAGCCACCTTGCCATAGCCCAAGCTCCCGAGTGCGAAATGATGGCCATTGGAAGTGTGCCGCGCTGTTCCACGTACCTCCGGTGCTCTGCACTTTCAGCACGCTCTCTTTTCCGCCGTCCTGCTGGAATGCGCTGACAAGCGGGGCAGCGACTGTGAAGACGGCCCATTGGCCGTATGTGGGCGAGCTGGCCTGGGGACCAGAGGGCGCCGGGGCATTGACGACATTCTGGTAGCTGCGGGTGATGTTGGGGCCGTTGCTGGAGGTGTTGAGCGTGGCCATGGTGGGCGGCGTGGAGGGGAAGCTGTCGTGGGAGACGAAGCTTGGGGGAGTGGTGGAGAAGAGGAGGTGGAGGAAAAGCAGCACTCGGAATTGACAGCTAGCACGATGCGTGGTGGGACAGGCAGCGTACGCGTATCCCGTATGTGTGTCTGTGTAATTGGGCGTGAATTAACCTAGTCGGGTCGGGCTGGTCAGCACAGGCGGGCCACAAGTTCGGTGTGCAGAGCTGGCAGCTATGTCATGCTTGGCCCGCGCCCTCGAGCGGCTGGCGCTGGCGCTGGTGGCAGGCAAGCGGTGCCGACGGCGCGCCCAACGACCTTCAAGGAGACCCTCGTCCGCTTCACCGTGAATAATTGGACATAGCTCCTCGCACTGCCTGCCCTCGCTGCATGCCAAAGCAGCTTTCTGCATCCTTCAAACCGCCGCCTAGACCCCAGGCTCCATCCTTCTAGCCCTCTAGCCCTCTTCACCTCCACTCTGCCACGACAAACACTAGCATCGCCAACACACGCAGCGCACCGCCTTTTCCGCGCTCCATCTCATCGCGCGCTGCTCCATCGCATCGTCATCCATCGCATGTCGCTGTCTCTGTGTCTCTAGCCTGCGCATGCCGACAATGAGTCTGTTGTGAACGCTGCCCCAGCACGGCTGCGCCGCCATGGAGGACCGCGAATCAAGCCCAGCGTCGTCGGTCGACTTCTACGGCTCTGATGCGAATCCTCCCCAGGCGACGCCTGCGCAGAGCGACGCGCCTGCCGCAAAGCGCAAGGCAGAGGATGCGCCCCATGAGCGTGAAAAGAAGCGCAAGCTCAGCAGCGCGAAGCCGCTCGTGAAGCTACCACCCGAGTTGTGGCAGCATGTTTTCTCTTTTTGTTCGCTTGCAGATCTCGGTCGATTGATCCAGGTCAATCGATCTTTCCTATCCTATCTCACAGACGTGCGCAGTCTGTCGACTTCAAAGTCGCATCCTGGCCGTCTGCATCTCCTAAAGTCCGAGTCGTTGTGGGCCTCTGCCCGCAACGCAATGTGTACCAAGCCCCCGAAGCCGCTCCCAGGCTTCAGCGAGCTGCGCATGTGGCAGCTGGCTTGGTCCAGGAGATGTCAGTTCTGCAATAAGCTTGATACTCTGACTCCAGGCGAGCGCATATGGCAAAAGGGCCCTGGCAAAGAAGGCGTGCGCGTCATTTGGCCCTTCGCCATCAGAGCCTGCGGGCCGTGCTTGCTCAAACAATGCCAGACGGTGAGTTGCACCTTCCGCTTCCTGGATCGCGACTGACATGTATAGGACGCGAGCCTTCTCTTCTCGGCTGCCTCCGCCCTGCGGCCCGCCCTCCCGTTCGCCCTCCTCACCAGCGACCAGCACTACATTCCAGCATACACCCTGCAATCTGCGAATACGCCGGCCGACATCGACATTGCCAAGTTCTACTACAAGCAGCATGTCGAGGAGATCACGCAGGAGATGAACGAGGCCATCAGCCGTGGCCCTGCAGCAGCTGAGGAGTGGTCCAAAGGACTCGATGCTCGCGGAAAAGAACGCATGAAAGTCGCCGAGAACTGGGAACGCTGGGAGGTCAAGAACCTATGGCAGGAGGAGCACGAGCGTGCGAAGCGCGCTCCGTCTGCAGCTCCCTCGCATGCCGCCACGTCACACAAGGACCCGTCTAAATCACCCCCTCGTCGAACTCCCTCTCCCATAATTCATGCTCCGGTTCCAGCGAGTAAGTATACCTCTGCTGTCTCATTTGCTGCCACACATGGCGATGCCTTTCGATATGTCAACAACACCTCTCCAGTCCCCTCCCTAACAGGTGTAGCACCATCGTCGCAGCATGCGCAAGCGCGACCGCCTACTGTTCCACCACAGGCTTTCACCCCTTCTGGCCAGAGAAACCTACACGATGCAAACGAGGCCAAGGCGACCCGGAAGACCGACATAGAACGCCGGTGTCAGCAAATGGACCCTCCTATCGCTCCCAACGTCTTGCGCCACATGGACTCGTTCAAAGCGGCTATCCAGATTTCACAGCCAATGAACGACTATGCATGGAGTGTGCTCCAACCCCGCTTGATCGCTCAGCTCCCTGCTGCCCAACAAGCAGAAGCCGACCACGTGGCTCGGGCTGCTTCGTTTCCCACAAAAGCTGCCGACCGCCGCCACACGGACGCCAATTCCAAGGAGGCCAGGGAAGTCATGGACCGAGAGTGGGAAGAGTCGCAACGACCCATCCGCGACAGACTCGAAGCCATCGCCGACGACTTCATTAATCAGAGCTGGGACCATGGCAGCGCCGTCACTTACGACAACAGCCCAAAGTTTGCGGCCGACCTCCTTGCTCACGTGCGCCGCACATACTATGCCGAGGAATCCGAACAGGACTCTGATCATCCCGGGCAACATACGCAGCCTTCTACTGACAATATAACTACTAGGCCCAGGCTCGTGCTGGATAACATGAAATGGGTGTACGACAACAAGATCAAGCCTTTGACAGAACCATTCCGGAAGGACATCTTCCTGTGCCATGGTGGCGGATGCGAGTACAACAACAAGTACTATGGTTTCGAGGGCGTCACGCAGCACTACGGAGCCAAACATACTGCTGCCTTCAGTTCAGGAAACGTGGTCGTTGCATGGAGAGAAGCCGAGTGGCCGGAGGAGACTCCCTTCCACCCAGATCCTCTCTCTGTGAAGCAACCTCAACATGGTCATCATCCCTCTTCTAGTACGAATGGGTTTGGTGGCTATTTTGGCGGATACTCACGCGCAGGGACATCAACACCTCACATGCCAACTCACCATCCACAGGCGAGCCCTGGTCCTTACAACTATGGAGGCCAGTACAATGGACCATTCGCTCCACCACAGGTTCCTTCTGGCTTCGAGTACCCCCAGCCATATGCGACACCCGTGGATATGTATGCACATCAAGCAATGGGTCCACCAGGTTATGGTGCTCATGCGGCCCAGAATCCTTACCTGACTTCTCCAGCGATGATCAACAATGCCATAGCTCCACCACCACCCAACATGCCACCACCTAGCCAAGGAATTCCTGAGATCGCTCCTAGCGGTACAGAAGATACTGGCCAAAGTACTAGCTCGTTTGACAAGCAAGTAAGTACCGTCATCGACATGACGCAGGACATCTGGAAACGCACCTCGGGGATCAAGGACATGCCGAATAGCCTCCGGATCTATGTGTTGCTCCATCGCGTCATCTCCAAGTTTCATGTAGAGTTCAATCATGAACCCAACCTGAACCACTTCATTGATGCTCTGTCTAAACATGAGATGCCAAAGGCTTTGAAGAATGCACCAGGTCTCTCATGCAAAGCTTGTCAGACGGGCGCTTCGCATAACTTGGGAGGTTCCTTTTACTCCAAGTCGGAGGAAAGAACAACCTATACTGTCCTCGGCCTATTATCGCACTTCAGGAGCCAGCATCTGCCTTTTCAGCAACCAATGCCTGGCCATGGAATGCCTATTGCCCCTCTGGACTGGAAGGAACACATGATCGAGCTTCCAAGCGAACGGTTCATTTCTGGTCTCATACACGCCCCAGGCATGGATGACGAGAAGCTGCTAATGATAGCGACCGTCTTTCCCAGCTTGTTCCCTATGCCACTGCCTAAGATCGGCGTGATTGATAGCCATGGATTAGCTTCCCCAGCCTCGTCAGGACCGAAGGATTCAGACAAAACGACTGGCCCAGCCGATGTTGCTGGTGAAGGAATAGCACGCCCCAACTCTGTTATGAAAGCAGCAGAAGCAAATTCGGCGCTACCACCTAAACCGCTGGAGGCTGGTTATGAGCCTGTTCGACCAAGCCTTGCCGGCGAATCGAATGAGGCGTCGGGCTCCATGAACAGGAAACGTTCATATCGAGAGAGCTCCCCCGCAGAGCGTAGGCAGCACCATTATGCTGAGCCGCGATACTATGTACGTGATCTACCAAACTCCGCAGAAACATTAGTGAAACTAACATCTTTGTCTGTCAGCTGCCGAGGGATCACCTTGATGACGGCTATCACCGCCCCCGGGAGTATGTGGAGTACGCCCCCAGCCCAAGGATCATCCATGCAGGTCCTACATATGAGGATTACACCGGCCGCCGAACAGCGTTCCGCGAGCAAGAGCGATTCTATGGACCACCCGAGGACGTGGTCTACGCACATCCGCGGGAAGGAAGCCACGGCAGTCGGGAATACAGTGCCTATCCCCGCCAGGCTCGATACTATGAAGAAGATGATCATCGGCCCGAATACCGGTTCATGAACGAGCGTCAGTCAAGGGATGCCAGTCCACCTCAAGGGCAATCTGCAGCAGATCGGTTCCTAGCAGAGAACGAACCCCCACAACCACAACCACAGTCCGAAGTAGACGCTGCTGCACCAGCGCAGGAAAACGGGGATGGGCCTCGTTACACGCCTCCGCCCCCAGAAGCTCCTGCACCAGCAGATGCAACAGCACCTGTTCGCCCACTTGCGCCCCCACATCCTCGAGCTCCTTCCACTGTTTCCAACAACTCCCGATATGACGACTATCAACCTAACGGGTATCGGATGCCAATGTCTGGACCAAGCGGTCCGCCACGAAGGGCTGGACCTCAACGCCGAAGAGATCGGCCTAACGAAAACCGGGGACCGTCTCGATATCAGCGATACATGAGTGTTGCGCGGGAAGATCCCTATGGACGTGGTTCCAGCATGAGCCGATCGCAAAGCCGGAGATATGAAGAACAAAAGCGTCGCATCGATCAACAAGAAACACCGCAGCCCAATGCTGAGCCTGACTACGAGCCTGCGTATTCTCGAGAGCACAGCCTTGATCAGTCTGTACAAGATGAAGGGTTCTATCCACCTGCCCGCCGTCATCCCCGCGGGTACGTCTCTGTGCAAGACCGTCTGCATCCACATGCACACGGGTACTCACCACCACGATATCGTTACGATGAACCACGCGGTCCACAACCAGTTTATGTTGACGAGTACGGGCA